CTTAGCCGACCTTTTTGTTGAAATCATCTCAAGACATCTCTCGTTGTCACTCTCTATGTTTCTCCCTGTTTCTGTTCCTGTGTTTGAGGCGTGGAGACGACAGTGAGGAATACACCATGTCACGACTTTCTTTTCATAAAGAGATGACAATGATTGGAAGGCAATCAATTTTGTTTGTCTCGACTTACAAAACTAAGCATCTGCTCCACAAAAGAGAAGTGGAAGTGAGATTGTCTTTATGCAGCCTGCTTCTCGATGTTTCCCTTTCACTGTCTTGGATGCAGAGTGAGCCTCCAAGTGCAATATTTAGCTTCCATCCTCCCTCTGTGTGGGCCAGCTTAGTGGCAGTCGATCCATTTCTCCCTCCTCCTCCTCCTCCTAACGGAAACCTGCTGAAAAAGACAAAAACCTCATTTGTTTTGTGTACTCCTGAGATCGATAGCAGCTCGACACTAAAAGAGGCCGGCTAAAGGGATTCTCCACTCAGTCCTAATGGGACAGGTTGGCCTGAGCTCAGAGGAGGTTTTTTGGCACCACAATACAGCAGTCCGGACAGCGCTGCCCACACTGAAACTAGAACGATATCGCCTTTTCTCTGCTTCCTGGCCAAAGTAGACGTTTTAAAACCTTATGATGATCAGGAAGGCCAGAAATGACGGACTAATCATGTGGATATTAGTCAAATTAGCACTCGCGCCATCCTCTTTGTCAATGTGTAATTTGGGAAATTGCGGCATTGTGTTCCCTCGGGGGTTGACTGAATGGCGAGAGCTCTGGTTGGGGTTGTTTACGCTGCACATTAGCCTTCCCTTGTCACCAATCAATCTCAGTTTGTCTCAGAGTACAAAAAAAGGTACAAGCTTATTCTTCGCCTTTTGTTTGTTCAACAGTTCCCTCACAGAAAGTGGTGGTAAGTAATTATGTAAATGTATACAAATACTATACTTGAGGTACATGTATTTCCATTTTATATGAATTTATAATTCTACTCCATTTCATTTTAGTAGCACATATTGTATTTTCTAATAATACCATTTATTTGACAACATTGGTTTCTAGTTGCAGGTTGTTATTATTTATACCAGCACGTTTAATCATTTAACACATTATGATGTGATGTTATGGATGGAGATAACTGGCAGTATGAAAAGGTTATTAATGTTATCTCATACTTTACCATCTTCAAATTGAAAAATACATACATTAAGGCATTACTAATTATAAAAATGCTATATTATTGTATATATATTTTTTACCAGAAAAAGCGACTTTGGATAACGAGTTATTTGAGATTCCCGGGACTTCTTTCTGCGGATTGATATGACTACATATAGTCCCTTGATCCTCCTCAGCAATGGTCTGTTAGCGAGTATTAACAACCTCTAAAATATCAGAATCAAGTATTCAAACTAAGCCGTGTTTAAAATAAATGTTTTTGCTGCTAATACTGTATTTTTGTACTTTTACTTAAGTACCATTTTGAATGCAGGATATTTACTTGACTTTACTTTTACCTAAACATCTGAGTACTTCTTCCACCAGCACAATACCAGTGAGTGTGTTGACTTTGCACCCAGTATCTGTGTGTGTTTGTGCAGGAGTCTGAGACCCTAACTGTGTGTTTTACCTCAAAGCCTGGTGTGTCGGCCCTGCTCCCCTCAGAGCTGTAAGAATATCAGGCATCACCAGAAGTAACTCTGCGGTGGGCTTGATTGACGCGAGAGGCCTCACCACCAGCCATTCACGGCACATTCTTACGGGGGTCTCATATCGCCAGGGGTTGGCCAGAGCACTCCTGTTGCCTTCCAAGGAAAATAAGCGCCGTGACATCAGGGCTTTGTTTCAACGGCGAGGCCCCTTCTGTTTGTGTTTAATATCGCTTCGAAAGAGAAGTGGAAAGAGGGCCAGCCAATTTCTCTGGGCCCCGACCGCTGAGCCCTGGCTCTCCGGCGGTAAAGCGACGGTGGTCTCGTGTGTCTGCAGCGCAACACTCTCTATCAACCCCCCCGCCCCCCTCACTTTCTCTCTTTTTCACCATCTTTGCTTGTGGATCTCAGGTCCCAGGAGGCTTTGCAGTTTTGACTACAGGGAAATCAGATCTCACAACACTGGGGGCCGTTCAGACTGCGGGGGCAGATAGTAAAAACAGAGAGAGAAAAGACACAGACAGAAGAGGGAGAAGTACTCAGATGTTGAACTTAAGTAAAAGAAGAAGTACCAGAGTGTAGGAATACTCTGATACGCGTAAATGTTATAAAGGTACAGATGTATCAGCATCAAAATATACTTTAAGTACCAAAAGTAAAAGTAGTCATTGTGCAGATTGGTGCATTCCAGAATAATATGATATGTTTTATAATGATTGATCATGAAAGTGTTCTCAAAGCTGGTAAAGGAGCAGCTAGTCTGAATGACTCTGTATACTGCAGGGTAGCTTGTGGATTTACTCCAGGTGGAACTAAAGTCTGATTTAACACTTGATTATATTTCACATCATTCATCCACATCTGTGAAGTAACTAAAGGTATTGAATACGTGTAGTGGACTAAAAGTACACGATTTACCTCTGAAATGTAGTGGAGTAGAAGTACACAGTAGCAACACATTGAAATACTCAAGTAGGTACAAGTACCTCAGAATCAGAATCCCTTTATTAGTCCCACAGAGGGGAAATGTACATTGTTACAGCAGAAAAGAGCTAAGGACAGCTTAATGTTAGCTAAGAAGCATGCATAAAAAAGTATTAAAGATAAAACAATTATTATAAAGTACTCAAAATTGTACTTAAGTACAGTAAGGCAAGGTAAGGCAAGTTTATTCATATAGCACTTTTCAGCACGCGACAATTCAAAGTGCTTTACAAAACAAATTAAAATACTTTTTCTGAATAAATACAGTAAAAACACATTATATGAATAATAACACCACAGGTATACAATACATGTTTAAATGGCATACTGTAGTGTGAATATGAGCAGCTCAATTAAAAGCAGCGGCAAAAAGATATGTTTTCAGTCTCGATTTAAAAATAGTAAGCGTTTCTGCGGACGTGCATGTTTTCGGGCAGTTTGTTCCAGAAGTGTCGGGGGGGCCCGCACAGCCTAACAGCTGCTCCATGTTTTGTGTTTACTCTCGGAACCGATAGCAGACCCGTCCCAGGAGACCTGAGACTCCTGGATGGTTCGTAATTATGTAGGAGATCAACCATATACTTTGGTCCTAAACCATGTAATGATTTAAAAACTAGCAATAGTACTTTAAAATTAATTATTTGACCGACTGGAAGCCAGTGTAAAGATTTCAGAACCGGACTGATGTGATCCACTCTTTTAATGTTAGTGAGGACTCGAGCAGCGGCGTTCTGAATCAGCTGCAGCTTTCTGATGGATTTCTTCGTCAGCCCTGTGAACACACTATTGCAGTAGTCGAGTCTACTAAAGATAAAAGCATGGACAAGCTTTTTTATAAGTCCTGTTGTGACATTAGTTTTTTAATCCTATGTTCTTTTACTCGAGTAAAAGTTACTTCACACCACTGGACACAGAGATGGTGAGGGTTGGAGAAGATATGAAGATTGATTTTGGAGACAGAGTAAAAAGGGAAACCGTCAGAGGAAGATCAAAGGAGGGAACAAAAGAGAGAAGGAGAACAGGGGGGAGAGTATAGATGAGGTGAGAGTAATGAAACGAGCGGAAAGAGAGGAGGGAGTCTGAGTGAAGGCCAGCACGTCTGGGTGGTTTTCCTGAGGACAGCGCTTTGATACTCCAGCTCTCACACTCCAATGCATTTAGACAGGGGTTGACAGTGGTTTCAGGCAGCGGTTTGTCTGGCTAGCTAACTTTGATTTAGAAGACCCTGGACTGGGCCGAGCGTTTGACTCTTTGATTTTCGTTGGATGGAAAAATCTGTGCAGTTTTTCTTGCAAAATGTAATGTTTCGTCCAACCGTGAAGGCAAATTGCCCACGCTTAACAAGTCTTTCTTTATTTGATAGTTTTCTGTTATTTTTACATTATTTTCAAGTGTTTTACAATTGACTCACGAATAATAAGTAATTGCATAATGACATCACCCACTCGTAAATGATTGTTCACTATTTGTCTAAGTTATTGAGAATTGTTTGAATTGTCCATCAAAGAATAACAAAATGTGACAAAGTGTTTTTAAGATTCGTAAAGTACTCTTGCTATTTTAACCATTTTGAATAATACCTATTTTATTAGTGGCTCTGCTGTGAACACAGAGACTTTATTAGATTATGCAATAAGAAAAACAGAACTTGCCTAGCGCTTATTTTCATTGTGGTTCACCTTGTTTAAAAAAATAAAAAAATAAATACGACTTTTATTCGTAGCGACACTGAGTCTCCGTGCTTTAATGGAAAGTATTTTTTCTTTTAATGTTTATTTTATAATCTTTTCTTTTTAATGACTGATTTTAAATGCCATTTTCTTAATGTCTTTCATTTTTTGTAAAGCACTTTGAATGGCCCTGGTTTGAAAGGTGCTATATAAATAAACTTGCCTTGCCATAATATTCATATTTCTGGAGAACCACGGAAATAGATATCCAATTTTATAGATAGATATATTAAAAAGGGTTAGATTCAATCATTGAAATGTTATTTGACGTTATTCTAGCTTGTGTCTGGCTTCATTACAAATACGATACTCAAGCTTTACTGAGCGTCTGCTGAATGAATAAGTGTCAAAGATGGATGAATTGTTTTTAAAAGTAGATGTTTGGTTGGAAAGCCTCCTGATAAATACTTGTCAAAGACATCTTCCATTTCTTTTGGAAACTGAAAGAGGTGTCAAGGTGGACTTTTGTTTCCATGTAAATAATGCGTGTGTTTGGGTCGGACACACCGCCATCTTACCTCAGAAGATGCAAGGAGCAGGATACAGAACAAACACAGTATTAAGGGTGAAGGAGACGAGAGGAAGGAGAAGGAAAGCTGCTGGTTTTTAATAGACTGTGGGTTTTCTTCCCTCTTTGCAGCAGCTGTATGCCGCCCAGCTGGCAACCATGCAGATGTCCCCAGGACCCAAGATGGCCCCCCTCCCACAGGCTCACATCTCCTCCGGCCCCCTCTCCCCCTCCAACCTGAAGAACGACAAGCGATCATCCAGTCCTATCACTCACATTAAGGTGCGTCCAGTGTTGCAAATGATGTAAAAGGATTTGTGTGAAATGTCAGAGCTGTTAATATAATTCAAAAATGATTATTAAAAATGCGTCTGACAAGTTTAATTTACAAGATGGACAAAGAAGCAGAAGGCAAAGAAAGTTGTATCATGTTGACTCTTTTCCAGAAACAAGCAACTACGAATTAGATATATGTACAGTGTCAGGGGAAAATACAGTGTCTCTATGGTGTGAAGTAACAAACATCGCCTTGAGTGAAAGGAAACAGTGAGTTCAGAATATTTATGATAGGAAAACACACAAGAATAATAATGATGATGATCAGTTTACGTAAAAAGTGAGAGGCTGGAAATGTGGGGGTTGTTGAAACAACAAATGGAGCGTGGCCCCGTTATACTCTTTACCGACAATTAGAAACAGCTTATTTAAAAGTCAAACACTGATACACACACACACACACACACACACACACACACACACACACACACACACACACACACACACACACACACACGACACTGGCGCTGGCTGCTGTTTGGCAGGATCCCAGACTCCTTCAGTGGAGAGAGCGTACGCCTCATCTTAACTCGGCGACGAGGCAGTAATGGAAGCCATGTGTGTGTGTGTGTGTGTGTGTGTGTGTGTGTGTGTGTGTGTGTGTGTGTGTGTGTGGCACAGCTGCACCCGGCGTCACAATAGACCGGCGTCAGAGCTCACCGCACTCCAACAGTAGTGCTCGGCTCCCAAACTCCCCATCCTCTGCTCAACCCACCCCTCACTTTGGCATGCCACCCGCAGCCTGACTCCCCACCCCTTTTTTCTCCATCTTCTAAACTCCCTTCCTTCTCAACACCTCTCCCTCGGCTGAAGCTCCAAATTAGATCCATGTTCATTACAGCGTTTGCTGCCAACACTAGAGCCCTGTTGAAGTGCGTTACACAACTTTTCCTTTTCCTTTTCCTTATGCGGATCAATGTGGTCGTGAACATTCGATAAGGAATAGAGGATTTGCACAAAGGTCCCATTGTTTGGAAAAGAAAGTACTCTGCAGCTTTTCTTAACTGTCTTGTTCACAGAGGTTAGCAGTGGAATTTATTTATTTAAGGGCAAACCCCTGATAGGGATGACTGGTTAGACATTTAAGTATTTAAAAGCACTTCAAAGGATGATTGGGACATATTGAAAGTCAGCGGCTGTCGTCATCTTAAATTGAGAATACATTTCCACTGGTGACCAACAAATGCGCTTCTACACAATCTGAAGCTTCTAGTGTGCTGGCAACACATTTGCAAAGTTTAAAAAAAAAAAATTTCAATATTTGATTGGAAGCAGTCTTCTTCTTCCACACCTGTGTTGCTGTATTACTCAGTTTCATGGTGAACTGCTCACACAGAGTCAATGATTGGAGTAGCGTGACACCGTTGGCAGGCCTGTATCCCAAATGATTCGCATTCTTGAACGGGTAATTTCCGTATTTTTCCACCTAAAACCTATTTTCCGATGTTCGTGGTGTATAATTGGCTAATAGGGAGAACATTTCTTGAAATTGGGCCAGTATTGAGGGGGTGGCTGAAGCCAATCACTGTCCTTAAGCATACCATCAACATATCGCCTATCAAAGTGTTTTACCGCAGACAGGGTTAGATTGTTGGAACAAGTGTATGAAAACACAAAACTGTGATAAGCTGATCCATTTGAAGAGACCCTATTACAGTATTACTGTATGCTTTTTGGGGTTTTCCCTTTCCTGTAGCGTGTTGTAAAGGTTTTTATGCATGTAAATGGTCTGCAAAGGCATCAGAGCCGGCCAGCTAACCAATCAGAGCAGACTGTAAGCATAATATGTCCTCTGTAACACTCTTGCCTCCACTATCTACAGGAGGAAGGATCCACACAGCCATTGAACCTCTCAGCCAGACCCAAGACAGCCGAGCCTCTTCGCTCCCCGACGTCCCCGACACAGAGTCTGTACTCCGGACACAAGACCAGCCCCTCAGGCATGGGCAAGGGCCGCATCCCCAGCCCCATCGCCAACATGGGCAGGAACACCTCTCTGGGTACGTTACAAACACGGTGGGAAGAAAAAAAAGAATATATGAACCAAAGAAAGTGAAACCGTAAAGCAAATGCAGGCAGTAGGCGTATGGATTCACACTGAAAGTATCAACCTCCAGAACAGTAGACTAAATCTAAATCTGATCCTTTTACAACAAACGCTATGCTCTTTTTTTTGTAGAACTCTAATCCTGCTGTAAGGGTAAAAGGTTACCTATTCATGTTATAATCATGGAACCAGTTACTCCCCAAACACACACACTTTTCCACACACAGCGTTTCTTCAACACTGGGGACACAGAATGGGCCACCAAGCAAAGCAGCGCTGAAAATAAACTCATTAGAATTGGCTTCACTGACATGTTCAATAAGAATCACACGGACTAAACGCTGCTTCGCCATGCCAACTACGAACTCAGAGGGGAAACACTGACGCACTCACACACAAACAAACACTCACACACCAAAGTATTGTTCCCATCTGCACTGTACATCCATCCAGAGCAAACATTTCCTCGCTCCAGCGTGAAACTATTTCTTCCCTCCAACCGGAAAAACAAAAACATCACCCACCCAGACACCTCCCTGCCCCACGCCGCCACACACAGACAAACCGATAGACTGCAGACACCTCAACCCACGAGGAGACCTGCGTGTGTGTGTGTGTGTGTGTGTGTGTGTGTGTGTGTGTGTGTGTTTGCGTGTGTGTGTTTTTACAGGAGTCCAAAGCCCTGTATTTAGCCCCAATGAAAACCCCAGCAGCGGAAGCAGTGAAACCCAGCACACGTTATTTGCTTTTTAAGAGCTTCCTCACATCATTGTCTGCCCGCGCTAGACCTTTTATGCCCCTACCTCTGCTATCTGTTATTAAGGCCAATCTGAACCCTCTCATTATAACCCCCCAGAAAACAATTTCAGCTCCTCTGGAGTGGCTTTGAGGACGCGACGCTTGTGTTCCCTGCAAAGTTATTTTTTGCCCATGTTAACGGCCACCCAAGCATTACAGTGCTTCCTACTCGTCTGCTAATTAAACGAAGAGGGCGACGGAAACATCGCATCCTTTTATTTTTTTCTCCTTATTCTTCAAATGGGCATCAAAATGGGTGGCAAAAGTGTGAAGCACATAAACAAGTGGGGGGTGGGGTGACATGTTTAGACACAAGTGGATTGGAAAACAACTTAAGAGATATTTAGCCCCATTAAAGGTTTGGAAAAATACCAGCTCACACGGATCTGTAAATATTCTTTCAAAGGAATGTGTGTGCAGACATTCTAAGTATTTGGTGCTTATCACTTGCCTGATATTGCACATCAAGCAACATGAAACCACATTCAGCAAGCTAGGGTTTTTATGAGTTACAGTTCTGGATTAACGGCATTTTTCTCAAAAGCTTTGACGACCTGCAAATCAGTATTTAAAGAACAGTTGCTATCCAGGTGACTATACAAGCTTTGTTCAAATATTACAAAGACATTTTACAAAAAGCTGCAAACTATGTAGAGCTATTCTGCAAGATTTTCTGAGAGGTCTTTTACAATTTACTGTACTTGATTTGCAAAGATTCAAAAGGAATACCAGGACTGATTTTCATAACAATATTCATATTCAAAAAATGTGTGTCCTACTTGTTCAAGAGTCAAGATTCTAGGCTTTTATTGTCATCATGTGTACATAGTTACGGTGTAGTTATGACAAGGACAATCTTAGGTCACGGGCTCCTCCAACAAAGCAACACAATAAAACAGAAGTACATAAAATAAAATAGAATGTACACAACGAAAAGTAATCAAACACTTAATAAAACGAAAAAAAAGGCAGAGTTTGAGAGGACACGGCAGCCATCATCGCCGGCGCCATCTTTGTTTGTTTGGTATAAAATACTGTATAATATTAGATACAATATTCAAATGATCCCTCTTGTCTTGTCTTTAAGCCTCTTTGTTGTTTGTCTTTACAAAGGGACATCCCATTGTAATTGTAATCCCTCCTGTCCCCTCCTCCAGACATCCTGTCCAGCCTCAACTCCACAGCCCTGTTCGGGGACCAGGACGCGGTGATGAAGGCCATCCAGGAGGCGCGGAGCATGAGGGAGCAGATCCAGAGGGAGCAGCTCCACCAGCAGCATCCGGGACACCACAGCCTGGAGGCCAAGCTGTCGGCCCTCAGCAGCATGAGCCTGCACAACGGCAACAAGGTCAGGGTCATCACGTGGCGACACATAGATTCACATTCACTGATAACATCTTAAAGGGGACCTATCATGCAAAATGCACTTTTGTACGTCTGTTATACATGAATATGTGTCCCCGGTGTGTCAGGGAACTCACCAGGTGTCAGAAAACACAACCCTCTCTCTTTTCCTCCATACCCAAAATCTCTAAAAACGGGGCTTTAAAGGATCTGATACAGACTGATACAGATTTGAAAATAGTGTGACCTCAGTGACGAGGAGCTCCGCCTATATGGCCAACTCTCCACCAATCAGGGGAATGAGAGGTTGCCGTGGCATGGTAACAGCATGGTAACAGCATGGTAACAGCATGGTAACAGCATGGTAACAACATGGTAACAGCATGGTAACAGCATGGTAACAGCATGGTAACAGCATGGTAACATGGCTCGTAACTCGGCCCCCTCCTTTGCAGGGGGGCGTGGTCAGCTGCAGCGCATGCAAAGACAGGGTGGAGGAGAGCAAAATGGCTAAAATGCATGATCTGTTTGGTATTTTGAAAAAAAAACGTATAAATATGCCTTATATAGCTATGGCCCTACAATATATTATTCAAATATAGCATGATAGGTCTCCTTTAAACAATGACAGTGTCTAAATGCATCTTTTACAGGCAGTCTCTCTCATTTGAAGGAGGAATTATGAGTGAAACACTGAATGGACATAAAAGACATACGTACTGTAGAGTGGGGGACACTCAAAGGCAGAGGGGGAGAGAAGTCCTTTAAAAGAAGCCCATCTTCCAAGAGAAGTGAAATGATGGAACAAAATGTCACATAATCCGTGTGTATTGACAGAACACAGTCACACAAATGACAATAAATACCTGCTATATAGGTACAAGACTGATACAGCTTCACACCCTTTACAATTTAGAACTCAAAAAGCCGAGCTTTGAGGAGGCCCTATTGTGCTTTTTGGGGTCTCCCCTTTCCTGTAGTGTGTTGTATCGGTTTGTGTGCATGTGAATGGTCTGCAAAGGCTAAAATCCAGAGTTTCCCTCTGAGGGAGTTTCTCCAAGTACAATTTTGAATGCAGGACTTTTACTTGTAA